CTGGGATAGCACAAGCGGGGGATGGGAGTGGAATCGTTCTAAAATGCAAATTATATGTTAAAAAACAAGTTTTTATAAATATAAAAACCATAAAAGAAATGTAAAATAATGAAACACATATTTGTACCTTTGAATATAAATATCAGTAAAATTTTAAAAATAATAATAAATGAATTTTAATTTTATGTAAATTATTTTACTGTTTATACATTTAGTTAAGAAGGACCATGTGGGTCCGTGGTCCAGATGGCACCATATGAGGTTAGAATAGCCCCATTGTAACTCATAAAAGTCGTAAAAGGTGACTAAAATGGGTACCCAGTACCCAGAGGTATAACTGAGTGGGGTAATGTCAGTCTTCTCCCTTGGGGTCTCCATGCCTTTGTGCCACAAGGTCAAGATAAAAAACAAGCTGCATTTTTTACTCTTTATCATGACTCGTCGGTCTAAGTACACAAGGGTTCATAAACTTGGTCTAGATATTACTGTTGACCAAGTATCAACTAGTTAACAAGTAACAACCAGTATGACCAATTAGCAACAACAGTTAAAGAAGACATTTTTAACAAACTGTTAACCTTCTTTTTCTCTATGGAGCCCTTTTACCCATTCGGACTTCCATCTGAAAACAATATTTTTAAATGCGTGAAATAAATGTCAAAATAGATCAACCAATTAAATAAAGAAAAGAGTATCTTACTGTAAGAGCAATCAGTTTTTCTCTGGGCTTTCCTTTCCACGACCAACCGTGGGCAAACTGTTTTTTCTTTGGTACGGGAAGTTTCACAGGCTGCTTTGGTGAGGTGCATTTCTCTCGCTTTGTAGGCACTAAGTTTTCTGTTGCAATACGGGAGGCGTTTTTGTTCATTGCACCAGATGTCGAAGGTACTGGAGGGACGACTGGAGCCTTCGCCATGGCAGCAGCAGCAGTCGGAGGAACTGCTGTCGCCAACGCTAGGTGATCAGCTACCTGAGATGGCTGTCCATCTTTCAACAAGTTTTTACTGGAACACTGATGCGCTTGCGACATTTGCTTTGCAGCAGCAGTACCAGCAGCAGAAGCAGGTTCGGCACTGGAACCCTCACTGGAAACTTGCTTTATGTACCTGCAGCACATCGCATTCTGTGCTGGAAAACTGCCATGCTGGAAGCCGTGAGGTGTAGACGTTCTCACAAGCAACAAATCCCTGCCACAGCACAACTGGTTGGAACAGTGACTCTGCTGCAGGAGATGGTCAGAGTCCATGCTGGAACCAGAGGACGCCGAAGCCCGCGACAGGTCCAAAGGGGACTGCTCGCAAGGCACTAGACTAGCAGAGTTCTTTGGTGGTGACAGGTACTGAAGGCAGTTTCCAGCGGGCGACTGGTGGTGGTGGTGTTGCTGTTGGTGATTGTTCTCTCGATGGTGGTCGCAGCAAGAGCAGCAGTTGATTCTGGAATAGGATGGGGAGGGGAGACCAAACGATTGTGCATGGTGCTTGCTGGGATCTACGGACGAATTGCTGGTGTGGAACTCTGTACATAATGGTTCGGGAGACATGTTGTTGGTAGCTGCGTGATGCGTGTGATGTTGGTGAGGATTAGGATATGCTATGATGCTCTTCCGCATTAGGCAAGGGTCGTGAACGTTTTGAACTAAAGAGTTGGGGCAGTACAGTCCTTGAACTGAAAAAGAATCAAATGTAAGTATCAAGTACATATAAACCATACCTAACAGTGGTTCCCAAATTAGAATTTCATTTCTATCTTAAAATTTAATTCAATGTGCGATTTCATATTTATGCGAAACTGAGTCGCATAAATATGAAATCGCACATTGAATTAAATTTCCAGTTCCAGTTTGAAACTAAGATTTGGAAAAATAATCAATATAACAATCAATAAGTGGCTGATCAATGATAAAAAAAGTTGCTTATTCATCCTACTATAGTAACCTGTTAAATTTGCTTGACTACATTTTTTATTTTTATTTTGCAATTTTCAAGTTTTTTTTTAAGATCTTGGTAAATAACTATCCACAAGGCTATGCATTTGTAACATTTTTATCTAAACGGGCGCTAAAAGAAAGTCTATACAGCAAGATGTCGAAAAACGGGAAAGTTCGGGAACCACTGGGATGCATGATATTAATATGAGATGGATATTTATAGCAAGTTAGAATTGTATAATCAATATATTTTTCGATCAGTGGTTCCCAAATTACACACTTACGATTTTTTCACAGCGGCACAATGAAATGATTAAACACTTTTTGCAATTTCATTTCTATTCTGAAATTTAATTCAATGTGCGATTTTATATTTATGCGAAACCGGGTGGTCACTGTGATAAAAGCCGAGTTTCTCGCGAAAATCAATTTAAAGAAGGAAATGAGGGCTCAGTTTGAAACCAAGATTTGAAAAAATGATCAATATAACAATCAATAAGTGGCTTATCAGTGCTTGGGTGGGTGACTACCTGGGAACACCGCGTGCCGTTGGCAAATTTGGGACCTGAATGGCCGAGCCTAGGCAAGACCTAGCGCTCGGTGCCACAGGTTTCGGGTTCGAATCCCGGCGGTGCCATGGATGTTTGTAGTGGCTCGGAATCCACTTTAAGCCGTAGGTCCCGGTCTCCTATGACTGTAAGAGTGTCACGGAGCAAAAGTCAGGCTTCTACCTACGGCTGCTCCATCACAACAGAAGCTGCTTCCTTCCCCTTCAATCATGAGTACGTATGGGCTCGTGGACTTGGCCAGCCAAGTGGGATAAGAAACAACAACAACATCATCATAAGTGGCTTATTCATCACACTATAGTAACTAGTTAAATTAGCTTGACTACATTAAATTTTTTTTTTTTTTTTTTTTTTTTTAATTGTCAAGTCTTCTTAAGATCTTGGTAAATAACTATGCATAAGACTATAAATTTGTGACATTTTTACGTAACACACGGCTTTAAGAGATAATCTATTCAGCAAGATGCCGAAAAACGTGAAAGTTTGGGAACCATTGGGCTGCATGAGATAAATATGAGACAGATAAATTATAGCAAGTTAGAATTGAATAATCAATATATTTTTAGATCAATAGTTCCCAAATTACATACCTCGACTTTATCACCATGAAATGATTAAACACTTTTTATAATTTCATTTCTATTCTAAAATTTAATTCAATGTGCGATTTCATATTTATGCGAAAAGTGGTCGCTATGATAAAAACCGATTTTTTTTTTCTCTCACAAAAATCAACTTAGAGAAGGAAATGAAGGCCCAGTTGAAACTAAGATTTGAGAAAATGATCAATATAAAAATCCATAAGTGGCTGATCAATGATCAATAAGATCAGTTAAGTCAGCAAATTTAACTAGTTGCCATAGTGGCTTATTCATCCCACTATAGTAACCAGTTAAATTTGTTTGACCAGTTAAATTTGTTTTTTCTTTTTTCTTTTGTAATCTTCAAGATCTTTCGAAGATCTTGGTAAATAACTATGCAAAAGACTACGAATTTGTAACACTTTCATCTAACACAGGGAGTTAAAAAAGAAAATCAATACACTATGTTGTCGAAAAACGGGAAAGTTTGGGAACCATTGGCCTGCATGAGATTAATAAATTATAGCAAATTGGAATTGAATAATCAATATATTTTTCGATCAGCGATTCCCAAATTACGCACCTCGACTTTATCCCATGGACACCAAGAAATGATTAAACACTTTTTATAACTTCATTTCTATTCTGAAATTTACTTCAATGTGCGGTTGCATATTTATGGGAAACAAGGGTCTTAATAATAGGGGGCAACGGGCGTACCGGTTACGGAGTTCCTAGGTGGTTTTAAGAACCACAATACCTCCACATCTTAATTTAGTTTAAACATTAGCACAAAATGGGGTTGCTTAAAATTAATGGGGTCGTAATAATAAAAAAGGAATTCGCGGAAAATCAATTTCGAGAAGGAAATGACGGTCTAGTTTGAAACCAAGATTTAAGAAAATGATCAATATAACAATCAATAAATGGATTATTCATTCCTACTATAGTAACCAGTTAAATTTGTTTGACTACATTATTATTATTTTTTTTTGTGTGTGTGTGTGTGATCTTCAAGTCTTCTTAAGATGTTGGTAAATAACTATGCATAAGATTACGAATTTGTAACATTTTATGTAACACAGGATACTAAGAGAAAATTAACACAGTAAGATGTCGAAAAACGGGAAAGATTGGGAACCACTTGGCTACATGAGATAAATATGAAACGGATAAGTTATAGCAGCCATAACTGAATAATCAATATATTTTTCGATCAGAGGTTCCCAAATTATGCACTTCGACTTTATTTTTCGTTTTTTTTTAATGAAATGATTAAGCACTTTTTATAATTTCATTTCTGTTCTGAAATTTAATTCTAAGTGCGATTTCATATTTATGCCAAACTGGATCGCCATGATAAAGACCAAGTGTCTCGCGAAAATCAATTTAGAGAAGGAAACTAAGATTTGAAAAAATGATCAACATAACAATCAATAAGTGGCTTATCCATCGCCACTATATTAACCAGTTAAATTTGCTTTTCAAGTTTTCTTAAGATTTTGATAAATAATTATGTATAAGACTACGAATGTGTAACATTTTTATCTAATACAAGGCACTAAGATGAAATCTATATAGCAAGATATCGAAAAACAGGAAAATTTGGGAACCACTGGGTTGCAAGAGATAAATATGAGACGGATAAATTATTGCAAGTTAGAATTAAATAATCAACAAATGTTTTGATTATTTCTTAAATAGTATGAGGATTCTAAGATTGTCAATCAATCGTAATATATTATGACAATATGTTAATTTACGATATCAAGAGTGCTTTATAAATATAAAAGGAAACTTTTTAAAAACTGTGATTAATAAATGTCTTCTGAAATCTTAAAGTGCATAATATACAAACTGAATATCCGTCAATTACCAATTTAAATTCCGTGTAACAATAGTACGTGAACATTACACATAGTCAACGGCCATACCATGTTGAATATACCGGTTCTCGTTAGATCACCGAAGTCAAGCATCGTTGGGTGCGGTCAGTCCCACCGGTGGGTGATCACCTGGGAACACCGCGTGCCGTTGGCATTCGCAAATTTGGGACCTGAATGGCCGAGTGTCTAGCGCTCTGGCGCTCGGTGCCACAGGTTTCGGGTTCGAATCCCGGCGGTGCCATGGATGTGTGTAGTGGTTCGGAATCCACTTTAAGCCGTAGGTCCCGGTCTCCTATGACTGTAAGAGCGTCACGGAGACAAAGACTTACGGGTGCTCCCTCACAACAGAAGCTGCTTCCTTCCCCTTCAATCATGAGTACGTATGGGCTCGTGGGCTTGGCCAGCCAAGTGGGATAAGAAACAACAAAACAAACATATATATATATATATGTTTAGAACTATATGTATAGATATATATGTTTAGATATATATATATATGTTAAACTTTTAGAAAAATTTTGCTGATCTTTTCAACAATCTAAATTATACTAATAATTTTTGACAAAAAAATACTACAATTTTTTGTACAGATATCAAATTTTTCGAGTAACATGTTTGTAATTTTTTTTTTTTTTTTTTTTATGGAATAAATTTCTTTGAGTTATATGATGAATTTATCCATTGCAGTTTCTCCAGATTAAAAAAAACTATGAGACTGAACTATTCTGAAAAACGATGTATAGATTTTCTTTGTATTTGTTTTCATGTCATAGTTCGCTGCCTAGACAATATTTTAAATATATTCTAAAGCATACTATATTCTACAGCTGTAATATCCAACATTAAATGATGAATTAAAATGCATTCAAACCATTGTTTGGAAAGATATTTTGCAGTGGACGAGAATTTTTTTTCTTCTTTTATTTCAGGCAGCATTAGTAATGTAACCATGGTGTCTGCTCAAAATCTTTTTTGAAATAACTTTTAGATGAAATTCATAGAAATGCACAATAACACTGACAACAGTTTCAAAAGCAATAACAATATCCTACGGTTTTCACAGAATTTCCTTTCAAAAGAGCTTTTACAAAAGATATCGATTGGAAAGATGACTTCGCAGTTTTGTATAGCCTTAAATAATATGCTCCATATAATATATATATTTTAAATTTCCATTTTGAAAATTCAAAATACGTTCAAAAGTATTTAAAAAAAATTAAAATAAAAAAATAATTGTTTAACAATTTTGTTTTTCTGATATTTAATTTTAAACAAGTAAAAAAAAAAAAAAAAATGTTTTTATGTATTCCTTTAAACTTTGCAATTTCCTCTAAGTTATAATTATTTAATGGGGCCTGAGGGGCGAGTGGCTAGCGCTCTGGAGCTCGGTACCACAGGTATCGGGTTCGAGTCCCGGAAGGTGGCATGAGTGTTTGTAGTGGTTTGGAATCCACCTTAAACCGTAGTTCCCGGTCTAATATGATGGTAGAGAGTTGTGGGGGTAGTGTTACTCGCGTCAGTAGCAATCTTCAAGTTATACGTGCCCCCCGGGTAGTGTTAAATGAGTAACAGCGGTGCAGCCCTTGCTTAAGGCTTAAAGATTACCTGTCTTGACAGCATTAGAACAACGTTAATTATTTAGCAATACCAAATGGAAAGTCTAGGAGACAATTGGGAATGACTGGAAAAAATTTAGTGAAAAAACTTGCAAAGATTGCAAATTTTAGATGAAGAACCGGACACGACTGTCTGGACGAACCTCTGGTCAAAATAGGGATTGTGAACTTTGATACATGTGTTTTATGTATGACAGAGAAAATGAATAAGGCCCTTATACTTGTTTGCTTGGGACTGGACCTTACAACATAATGGTGATTTTGCATACTATTTACTGGAGAGACGGAGAAAACATGTCCTGTTCACAAGAACTTTTAAGGTGCTTCTAGCTTTTTAAATTTGTATCCTTAGAACATTTGTTTTGAACTGTTTTCAAGGCCTATTGGTGGCTTTTATTAGGAATGTCTGCTCTTTTCCCTTTGTAATTACGATTTGCTTATATGTTCTATAGTAAGTAGCCAAATTTGTATGGACTGAGTTTCAGTAAAGCCTAATTAATTCTCCTAAGCTTAGATAATTTATTAGTCAATGAAAAATTTCTTTAATCAGAAAACATTCAAAAGTCAAAAGATAGATTTAATTTTAACCCATAATGATTAATTTGATATCAACATTTCGTACAACCTTTAGAATTTAATTATTTCTTTTCACCTACAATATTTCTTTATGATTAAGTCGATTTTTGAATAAAATATTCTAATATATCGAAAACCTATATATCTGAAATTGCCACTTTTCTAAACTTGTAGCCTGATGTTCGAGTGACTAGCGCTCGGTGTCACAGGTTTCATGTTCTAGTCCAGGCAATGTCATGAATGTTTGTAGTGGTTCGGAATCCACTTTAAATCGTACGTCCCGTTCTAATATGACTGCAGAGCGTTGGGCTGACAACTGTACCTCGTAAAAAGAAAACATTTCATGTTTCGAAATCTGTGAGTAGACAGATGGTTTGGCCCACCAGGTTCAGGTTAAGGTTTTGGATTTGCAAATTGAGACAGTTTGGTTCAAAGCCAAGACAAGCGAATCAGAACCAAAAGTTCTCGTATCTATTAATATCAGGGTTAGAAATGACAAATCCAAGTCAAAAAGTCGTCCCGTTCGATTTTGAAGAGGTGGGACCCTCTCCTGTTTTCAAATTGCAGTGGTACAATGTGGGTGCAATGTAGTGACCCCCTTACTGTAATGCTCTCTGACAATGGCTGAATCTGTTGTTCTAAACGCGAACGACCTATAAGGCCAAACTGCTCGGCATTTGAAACCCACAATAATGCGTTTCATTCATAATCTGTTAAGTTAATAAATGCTTCATTGGAAATCTTTTATAGGTTTAAGACTATCAAGTTAATTTCTTTTTTTAGATTCAATATTTTCTTTTAATAAACAATCGTAATTTCAGACGAATCTTTACATAATATTCTAATTTACCCTGGCCCACTGCGGAACAGAGGGAAACGAGGCCACTGACTTCTTAGCAACTACTGCTATAATGAAAACGTTGCACTGGTCGGATTTCATTTTAAATAATGACATTCCCTATTAACCAATATTGTAACATTAGGTTGTATGGGTTGCTTACGCTAAATATGAAATTCGAAATCGGCATGATTTCATGACAGAAATTGCTCCACAGCGTACTCGTTTCATTTGTGTTCTACTTTTATAATCAGATTTTTTATTTTTAATGATAAGAAATTAATCTAATAAATAATCATTGTTTTTTAAAGATATATAAACGAAAATAAACATTAAAATTCAGTAAAATTCCAAAATAATAATTATTCCAGTAATTATTAAATATTCTGCAAATTCACTGTTGCTCAAGTTTGCGAACAAGCCATAAAAAAAAGTACATATGTAAAATGCTATTAAGAGAATTTATCAATCAAAATTAATCCATGATAAAGAAACTCTTTGTCTTAAAAGAAGGCAAGAAATTGATTATTATGTTTACAGAAATCCACAACTATGATATCTATTATATTCATATGTATATTATCTTAAGCATTCTTTATCTAGACAGGTATGGCAATTCGAATTCACATTTTTGCAAATCAAATTCACCTCTTTCAATATAAGGGCTTTATTTATAGGTTAGTACTAATCCATATACGTCTTTATAAACATACATATGTACATCTAAATATGTGTTTGTGTATTTACTTACGTATGAACGCAAATGCTTGACTTATGTGAGACTTACCCGTGTGTGGATTTAAGTGGATGAGTCTTTGTATGTACATGCTTCTCTATATGTATGTGAATGTAAATGTGCGTATGTATGCGAGTGTGCTTGTATGTGGCTATGTATGCTTGTGCACGTGCGCTCATGTATATACATTATATATATATATATGCGCTGTGTGTGCAAAAAAAAAAAAAAAAAAAATTTAACAGAGCGACAATTACGCATATATATATATGTGAGTGTGCGTAATTAGACTTACAGTTTAACGTAGATTCTGAACCACTAACAAACAACCATGTTACCGCTAGGATTCGAACCAGAAGCCTGTGATACGAAAGGCCAGAGCATTAGAGAAATGGACATCAGGGCTGCTGTATGTACTTGTGTCAAAATGTGTGCATATGCATTTATATACACTGAAGTGATAAAAGTCATGGGATACCTCTTAATATCGTGTCGGCCCTCCTTTCGCCCGGCGAAGTGCAGCAACTCGATGTAGCATGGACTCAACAAGTCGTTGGAAGTCTTCTGCAGGAATATTGAGCCATGCTGTCTCGATAGACGTCCATAATTGTGAAAGCGTTGATGGTGCAGGATTTTGGGCACGAACAGACCTCTCGATGATGTCCCATAAATGCTCGATGGGATTCATGTCGGGCGATCTAGGTGGCCAGATCATTCGTTGGAATTGTCCAGAATGTTCTTCAAACCAATCGCGAACAGTTGTGGCCCGGTGACATGGCGCATTGTCATCCATACAAATCCCATCGTTGTTTGGGTACATGAAGTCCATGAATGGCTGCAAGTGATCTCCAAGTAGCTGAACATAAGCATTTTCAGTCAATGTTCGGTCCAGTCGCCCCAGAGGACCAAGTCCATGCCATGAAAAAACAGCCCACACCATTACGGAGCCAACACCAGCTTGAACAGTGCCTTGCTGACAGTTTGGGTCCATGGCTTCGTGGGGTCTGCGCCACACTCGAACCCTACCATCAGTTCTTACCAACTGAAATCGTGACTCATCGGACCAGGCCACGGTTTTCCATTCATCTAGGGACCAACCGATATGCTCACGTGCCCACGAGAGTCGCTGCAAGCGATGTCGTTCTGTCAGTAAAGGCACTCGAATCGGTCTTCTGCTGGAATAGCCCAAGAAAGCCAAATTTCTCCGCACAGTTCTAACAGACAAGTCCCTTGTACGTCCCACATTGATTTCTGCGGTTATTTGACGCAGTGTTGCTTGTCTGTTAGGATTTACGACTCTTTGCAGACGTCGCCGGTCTCGGTCGTTAAGTGCAGGCGGTCGACCACTGCGCTGTCCGTGGTGGGATGTTATGCCTGAAATTTC